AAGAGAATTCAAAAATCTCCGGAGGATTCCCGCTCGAAAAGAGGCAATTATCAAGAATCCCTGGCAAAAAACCGGATGGCTAAAAGAAAAAGCCAAAATCAAAGAATCCCGGCCAAGACCGGACGGCTAAAAGAAAAAGCCAAAATCAAAGAATCCCCGGTCAAGACCGGATGGCTAAAAGAAAAAGCCAAAAATCAAAGAATCCCCGGTCAAGACCGGATGGCTAAAAGAAAAAGCCAAAATCAAAGAATCCCCGGCAAAAGCCGGACGGCTAAAAGAAAAAGCCAAAATCAAAGAATCCCCGGCCAAGACCGGATGGCTAAAAGAAAAAGCCAAAATCAAAGAATCCCCGGCAAAAGCCGGACGGCTAAAAGAAAAAGCCAAAATCAAAGAATCCCCGATCAAGATCGGATGGCTAAAAGAAAAAGCCAAAAATCAAAGAATCCCCAGCAAAAGCCGGATGGCTAAACAGAAAAGCCAAAAATCAAGAATCCCCGGCAAAAGCCAGATGGCTAAATAGAAAAGCCAAAAATCAAGAATCCCCGGTAAAACCGGATGACTAACAGAAAAGTCAAAAAGAAAAATCAATTACTCCCCAGGGACGCATGACCAAAAACAGTAAGCCGTCAACTCATCTCCAAAAAATAGATGATCATAGGATTGACTACAAAAAAGTTCATCCTATAAGCCTTGCAAAAGGAGGCTCATTATTCACACCGGGTGGGGGTGTGTACTCACCTAAGCTTTGTGAAAAAGGCTTATCATTCACACCGGGTGGGGGTGTGTACTCACCTAAGCTTTGTGAAAAAGGCTTATCATTCACACCGGGTGGGGGTGTGTACTCACCTAAGCTTTGTGAAAAAGGCTTATCATTCACACCGGGTGGGGGTGCGTACTCACCTAAGCTTTGTGAAAAAGGCTTATCATTCACACCGGGTGGGGGTGTGTACTCACCTAAGCTTTGTGAAAAAGGCTTATCATTCACACCAGGTGGGGGTGTGTAC